CAGCCCCAGCCTCACCAGCCCCTGCAGCACCCGGGAGCACCCCCACAGCTCGGTGCTCTGAAGTTGGCTCCAGCAGAAGACACGAAACCAAATGAGCAGAAGAAGAGACCTGGAGGGTGAGTGCACCTTGTGTGTGGAGGCTTCTGAGAGGGACCAGACAAAAATGACACCGAAAGCTGCATCGGCCTGGAGCAGCTGCTGCTTTTGCAAAGAGCTGTCAGATCAGAAATACCAGGATTCATGGATGTTTGGATGTCTGCTTGGTTTTTTGATAGCAGGGTTTCTTAGCTTGATGTTTTTTGTTTTTCCTCCCTGACTACACACTGTAGGATTCCGTACAAGGATTTCTCTTTCCAAGCCAGAACTGTATTAGGAAGCAAGTCCCAGTGCTGCCTGTCTGATCTCAGGTGGCATCTGGTATTATGTTTGGCAAAAGATCTCTGCTTATACTGGTCAGGGAAATTGTGCAGCAGTGCTGCTTGCAGGAACTTTCTTGAAAACTGGGACGTGATCTGGGAGGTTTTATTTCCCAGGACAGGGATCGCCTTAGCTGCTGTTACAGTTTTAGTGCTGGAAGTGCTAAGGGCCTCCTGCTTGTTCAGAACTCTGCAGCTGGAAGGGACTGAAGGCTGTTTAATCTGTCTTCACCCTCAGACAGGACTTGTGACTCTGATGTTGCTCCAGGTTAGTGTTTGTCTAACTTGTTCTTAAGGACTTTGGCTGGTAGAGGCTCTGTCTTCTCCTTAGGCGGTTGTTTCCAGACCACAGTATCCTAATACGTAGTCTGGTATTATTTCTCGTGGAGTGGGAGAACAAATCGTTCCCTTCTTTGCAGCAGGATTTTACCTGTTTTCCTTGGCTCCTCAGTCTTCCTTCCTGTAGGATAAATGACCGGGATCTGTCCAGTCTTTCCTCCTGGGCCGTGTTGTCTAGACCTCTGACCATTCTCCCTGTTGCCTGCAGCTGGTAGATGACTCTTTGCAATGGTGTTTGAAATGGTACGCTAATCCCACGCACGCTGGGCAGACAGTTGCTCTGAGTGTCTTGCCTGTTCAGTGCAATAAAGCAAATGTGCCCCCGGCTTCAGGGCAGGGGTGGGGATCTGTCAGGAGCATCGCAGCCGCAGCCTTGTCCCGCTCCAGCGTGGCTCAGGCTGCTGTGCTGAGACAGACCCAGCAGAGCTGGAGGCCCTGCTAGTCACGCTGGTCCACCCAGCCTAGACAAGTGCCAGCAGAAGGCAGGCAAAATGCAATCCTTTCCGGGCTAGTGACCCGCTTGGGAAAAATGTTTTGGCCAGGTCAAAATCTGGCCTTGCCTTTTGCTCCCTCCTGGATGGAGCTCAGTATTTTGAATGCATCAGAAGGTCAGGACATGCCTTTCACTTTCTTTTCCCCAGGTCCTCTGGTCCTTAGCGGCGTTTGCTTTGAGCTGTAGTGTAGAACCACTGTAACCCAGCTGCGAGAGAAACACGAGCGTGGGGCTGTGAATTGGTACTGACCTTCTCTGTGGGTGCCCTCCGTGGAAGGAGCGGGAGTTCCAGTATCATCTTGTGGGAAGAGATGCAAGATGTAGTGAGGAAGAAAAGGATTCATAGTGTCCTTGGGGATACAGAGATACCAAAATACATAGAAGGAACCAGCAGAAGTAATGTAGATAAGAATTTGTGAAGATAATGGCCTTTGTAAAATGCCAGTGTGACTCCTCCAAGATAGACTGTGATCTTTAGAGCTTGTCTAGAAAGTGCGCAGCTGCAGAAAGAAGTATATTTGGGCTTTAATGAAGGGAGCCCGTCACTGATGTTGCGTGGGTTCAGACGGGTGTAGAGGGGGTTTCCGATGGTACGGGGGTAGCAGTGAAGGCTGCGGGGAGTTTCGCTCTCTGAGCAGCAGCCATCCCGGCAGCGGGCAGTGGGGTGGCCGCGGCTGCACCAGCAAATGCTCTTGTGCCGTCACGCCGAGCTCTGCTCCTGGGCAGCTGGGAGGGCTCTTGTCCCAGTGCAAAGTGCAGCATCACTGCTGTGTCTGTGCTGTAATCAGAGCGTTTTACCGTGCAGGAGTTCTAGAGCTCTTGGCACACCAGAAAAATGCCTGTCTGATGCTGAGCGAGTTGCAGAGGCTTCCTGAAATGCATTTTGATGGGTGCATGCTCCTTGTCTCCCCAGAATCACTCCCGTAGACATAAGCACAGAAAAGATGTCTTTTTCAGCTTGTAAAAGGCTGCCAAATATTTGTTTTTAAACACCTGAATATTTATTAAATATTAAAGTAACTCCTGAAATGCTGCCTCAATGTTGGTATATTTTCAGCCAAAGGCAAATAATTACTCTGCATATACTCTGTGGAAGATACTTGAAATCCCCACATGCCTGCTTATGTACTTTATCACCACTGTAGCTGAAAAACTAAGACAACATGAATTCCTTTGGCTTTTCCTAAAAGTATTCCTCTGATTCGGAGGGTGGGGATAGACCAGAACCCCCAAAACCAGAAGCTCGCCCTGGTTCTTCCTTCAGCAGTGACTGGAGGATTCCTGGGTTACTTCATTCCATATTTTTGCTCAGCTGTGTTATTTCAGGCACGGTAAAAACCTGAAGCGGTTTGAAGTATGTCTGCCAAGTCCTGTGTACTTTAATTTGAAGCTGCATAAATCTTACCCCAGTGTAGGTGTAGATCAGAAATGGGTCTGAATCTGGGCTATCCAGCACTGTCCAAATGCACACTATTCATGCTTGGTGTCTTGCCCCGTTGCTGCTGTTAGCCGTGGCTGTGTGTGTAGGCACACATCATACCTGTGTGGGTCTTGGGTGCGGAGCAGGCGTGACGGTTATACCAGCATATGCATATTGCCCCAGTAATACGCATGTGAAGTATGGATTTTATCTTGATACAGAATAGGTAGAAATACATACACAACTAATATTAAAACAGTGACATCTGAACACCTATTGCTTTTTAATATTTACCCGTATATCCTGGACACACACACACACTGCTGACAGTACAGGTTGAATGGCAATAGTTTTAAACCTGACACTGAGTTTATCTTTGTTCTGTTTGGGTTACAGGGTTGGGACCAGGGAAGTACATAATAAATTGGAGAAGAACAGGTGCGTAGAAAGCCAGGGGTTTGATCTTTTAATTGTAATTCCCCTCCCTTTTTTTTTTTTTCCTTTGGCCTGTAGTCTGTCAATATTTGTTTGGCTTTGGCATTTTTTGTTTGGTTTTTTGTTTGTTTTTTTTTTTAACAAATAACCTGAACAAAATTCTTAGTGACGTTTAATGATGAATCTTGCAGTATTGCTTTGCTTTCTTATTGCTCAGTTCTGCATCTCTTGCTTTCCAGTATGTTTTACTTAACTGTGTAATTGCATTACAATAACCCTGCAAAGCCCTGATCCTGCAAAGTAAATCTCCACGTGCATAACAGTGTAATTTCTCTTTTGATTTAAAGTAATGAAGTAGCCAAGATCAGGGGCCAGTGTACACTGTGAATACAGAATAAAGACCAGTTCCTGATCCAAAACTCTTTCAAGTCCAACTAGCTAAATCGGAAATACAGCAGAAATGGAAGCAACAGCACGGGGAGACAGATATTCCGTTTAAGACTGCACGGTGGTTTACTAACAAAGCTAGGACTAGAACCCAGGCATACAAGCCCCTAGTTTTTCTGCTGGATTGAGCTGGTTCCATTGTAAGCATGCAGGTAGTCTCGGTGACTGCTATGCACAGGTGTAAGTGCTTTGCTGGATTAAGGCCCAAATTAAGCTCTAGCCCTCTGCTAAATTGATTTCTGGTGTGTGCTCCCACAAGCTGACAAACCACCTGTGTTTTCTTTAGACGTGCGCATTTGAAAGAATGCTTTGAGACATTAAAACGCAACATCCCCAACGTAGACGACAAGAAGACCTCAAACCTCAGCGTCCTAAGGAGTGCCTTGCGATACATCCAGGTGCGTTTAGCGTTCGGGTTACTGTTGGCTGTCATTGCGTAGCGCTTCATCTACTGCAACCAGAGAACGGTGCTAACTGTGCTTAAACCAAGTGACTTCTCTTTTTCCTGTAGTGCAGGGGAAAAAAGGGAGAGAAGAACTCGCGTTCCTCCTTCTCCTCCCGTGCAAGCATAGTTAGTTGTTTATAAACTCCAGATTTCCAGAGCATTTGGATCGTCTAGGAACACTTGCTGCATGCAGTCTGCCCGTACTAGCAGTTCTAGTTAACCACAAGTCATCCCTACCAGCGGTGGTGACACAGCAACAGATAATTCAGGTGATCTTAGCGAGGGGCGTCCAGGCTGTGTGAACTTCAGCTGCTCCTTTTTGGACTAAGGTGACTTTTAAGTTTTGGGGAGGTGTTCTGTTTGCTTAATCAAACAGACAGACTTCCATGAAGGTTTTGAATGTCTCAAATTTCTGATGAGATGGAGGTGTAAGTACAGGTCATTTGCTTGGAGGCAGGGAAAGACTGGAATTACGACTGCGGTGTGAAGCTCTAGGTGGATGGGGTACCAAAAATGGGTCTGGGAGAAAGAAAAGATAAAATTCCATCGTGGTGTTTGCAGGTTAAGTGTTAGTGTTTGCTTATTTGTTTGTAAACGTGGTTAATGGTAGCACAAAATAAATTCTTAGAGATGTCCTCTCCTCTGTGCCTGAAATGAATAGCATGTAATGCAATTAAAATTCACCTGGGAAATGGAAGAGTTCCTAACTTCATAGTGCAAATGAAGAGAGCCAAGAGACCTCATATGTTTTGGCTGTTATACAGGGTGCTGAGGGCTGCTCACAGTGGGCTTTTCCACAACAAAGCGTCATCTTTTTGCCTTGCTTTCTTCCCGTTTTCCTCAGTCTTTCTCAAATACAGTTTCATTGCCGTGTTCAGAAGTACTGGGCATTGATTTCTTGCATCAGCTTTACTTTGGAGAGTCAGTAATTACCTTTCAGAGTTAAACCAGCTCAGCCCTTCTCATTAGTCTTCATGGGTGACTTCCTTTGGTTGGGGCAAATTTAATGGTGCCCAGCCCCTGGAGGATGTCAAACAGAAGGGAAAAATCCATGTTGCTTAAAGAGGTCCTTTTTGGAGATGATGTTGTATTGCGGCCTAATGGGCATTAGAAAAGACCTGAGCCTTTCATCTGGTTTCAGGCAGGCTGGCCTCGGTAGAGATGGGCTTCCATTAGCAGTCAGGGAGATGGAGTGATCTGATCGGCCACTCGCGCCTTCGGGAGCTGAGCCCGGAGCCCGGGTGTCACAAACGGAGCTGTTTGGGGCGCGGTAGCTGACGCTCTGCGAATATCGGTACAGCTGCAGACCTGTCTGTGAGCAGGCTCTGCTCTCCGGAAGCATTTTTATTCTGTGCTTTTGGAAGACGGCTTTAAATTCTCTTTGAGGTTGTTGGTGAGGATGGCTGATTCTCCCTCGCCCTCTTCTCTGGATCTGTTGTGAAATGTTTTGAGGCTTCGATGCAATGTAGTTTTGTGCTACCTACAAGCGTATGTACCGATATCTACGTAAATTGCTAGGAATTAAACTATTGTCACGTCCTCTTAGGAAGTGTAAGCTACCCTTGTGGTGGTCCAAAAGGCATTCACAGATGCAGAATCGCGGTTTGTTTTCATTAGGTTTCTGCCACTCAGGGTCCATTTCAGTGTCGCCTCAGAACTGCTATTCCCAGCGTGGATCCTGCTGGGAACCAGAATGGCTGGGATCGGGTCTGTCTGTCCGATGGCTCTGCTGTGCCCGTGCTGTTCTGTGTGCCCACCGGCTGGGGCTGAAGGGGGTCTCAGGGTGGTGTCGTTGCAGTGTATTTAATCATTCAGTAAATGGACAATGCAGCAGTTCTGACGGTTAATGTCACAATATTTGCATCCCCGGGTCAGGGACCGTCGCACCGTAGGTCACTGTATCTGCACGGCTCCGGTTTGCCTGCTGCGCTGCCTGCGTGCACCACAGGCTCCGTGGCTTGCAGGAGAAACTGCTGGGGAGAATCCGCTCCGGTGTGCGGTGCTGGTGCCTCAGAAACTCCCCGGTTGCCTGCGTTCCCTCTGGGCTGGCTTCGGGGAGCACGCAGGGAGCAGCCCCCGCCTTCTCCCACCAATTTCAGTGCAGAGAAATTCAACTCTCTTGTCCAAATGTCTCTCCAGCTTCCCACTTGCAGGTGGCCTTAAGGGTAATGGAGCTGGTTTTGTGGTGGACGCTGGGTCGGGGTGCCGCAGGAGCCCGGCACTGAGCAGGGTGGGGAGGGGAGGCCGGGGGGCTGGGAGTCTGCAAGCCACGGGTGGGGGGTGGGGGGAAAAGCCCAC